ATATAAACACATACAAACACTACATGTAACAAATAAAAATATAGAAAGGAAACGGGATAAATAAACAAACCAAAAAATTAATGCCAACACAGTGTACTGTAATAATACCTTTTTCTGACTCTATGATATTGATCCTATCTAAACTCTTCTTAGTTTTTTTCTTGCTGCAGAGTTATTTCTTCCTCACCGCCGGAGTTATGCCGTTACATGACCGCGATGGTTGTATTTATAGCCAACGGGGTACTCGTACACGGGAGCCATACCCATCAATTTTACCTGTCATAACAGAAACACACATAAAAAATCATAATGAGGCTGTTTTTAACTGAACGCGCCACATTTCCTATTTTTGGCTCAAAACCGGAAATTGGCGTTCGGTGTCCATTGTGTCATGACCCCCTGAACAGGATCTAGGTTAGCATGACGTAGATGTAGGCACTCGCCTACGCACGAGGTGTGTTGTGGTCTTTAGTAACGGGACTTGTTTTTCATACCAGATTGTCCCCACTGTGTTTCAATGCCCCGTTTCGTTTTATTTAAAGTTGTTTTGAGAGACACAAACGTCAGCACTCAGCACTCGGTGGTTTAAGCACTGCCATTACGAATTTCTCCAAGACATGTTAGAATGAAATAACATGTATGTCGGATTTCAGTTTGAATTTTTATTGGGAAAATAGATAAGGAAAGAAGAAGCTAAACCAGTGCTAATACTTCCGAATTATCTTTTCCAATAAAATCTTTGATTAAACATTTTCTTTTATGGCAAAGAATGCTTCTGTCATCCTCAATGTATCGAAAAAAATTATACTTTTGAATACATTTCATCGTGGTTTTTTATTCTTTCATTTATTTATTTTTCATTCTTTCATTTATTTATTCATGCACAACATTAAATGAACATGTATAAAACTGGAAGTCGTTCTTTAAGACCAATGTCCCGAAGTGGGTGTGCATGTCCCCACTCTGGGTAGAGAGTACATGTGCACTAGTTACTGCTTTAGACTGTAGGTCCTATAGATTACCACACATGAAATAAATAACTGGTTTAGATATTGTCGCAAGATTAAAACAAGGGATTTGCCAGATAGAAAATTCAATCCTGCTATTTTTAGGGCACACCTCGTAAAATACTTCACCATGTGTTCATCCTACATATACATGTACAGTTTAGGTCATGATCGGAAACCGCCCCAAATTTACTTCGGATGTACAATTTTATCATATTTTTCTTCGCATGCGTTTAACGTTAATTTGAATGATTTCTCATTAAAAAAGGTGTACCACGTTGGACTACAAACCCATTTAACATGTCATCAATAATGCATTACTTTCGGTACATTCCACATACTTTGGTAATGCTAAATCATATATAGTGCAGCCTCCTCATTACAATATTTCACGTCACGATTTTTCTTTAATTAGGCACGAAATAAGCATGTCGCCACTTTTCTTTAGGTGACTGATTTGCCGCAGAATGTTCTTGTAAAAAAAAGGTCGAAATCTGTCCCTAATTTAGAGATAATTGCTATTTACTAGAGCTCTCCTTTCCTGACACGTGGGAGTTTTCAGTCAGCGAAAAGGCTGATCGCACCCTAGTATACAGAAATTTGCTGTCATTTTATTTTTAAGATATATCCGACGGCAAAACATATTTATTTGTCCTAAGGAAGATTTTTGCGTTAGTCTTTGTATCCACTTCAATGTCTTATCAGCTATGGCAGCTGTTTATTGGATACACTTTCTCTTCAGGCTTGGTGATTGTTTTGTTTAAGTTTTATGTACATGAACCTCAGGAACCAGGGGTCCCTCGCCTTATTATCAAGTCTGCACTTGCGGTTAAAATAAGCCGTCCGTAACCATCCTTTATTTTCATTTGCGCCAACTTTTTGCTCCTATAGCTGTTGTGATTTCTCATATTTTTCATAATTAATCCTGGTTACATTCATTAATATACTTTATTATTTTTATATTTGGCACTTATATAGTTTGGGGGATGTTTGATTATCTCCCCAGTTTTGTAACTTTGTATCTTATTAGTTTTCGTCATTAATAAATGACAATTACTGTCATATGGACTTATCTTACTTAATTTGGAGCAAAAACAGAGCTTCGTTGTGCTTGTGAACATTTGGCTACATAAATTCCTTTATTTTTTCATCACGAATCTCCGGCTTTCCTTTCGCTATTCGCGTTCGTGCATAGATTAAATTTGAAACCTCGTCTCTCACCTTGGTGACCTGATACCACAAGTGTTGTACTCAAGATGAACTTTGTGGCGAAAGAGAAAAACTGGTTTTGGGGAACGCTAGATGTTTAAATTGTCGGCTTTTTCATTCAATTCAATAGCAGGGCGCGATAACCTGGCGTCAAAATGAGGGGTCGAATGTGTCGACGGGGGCTGGCTGGTATCGTCATCTCTTTTCATGGACTTCATGACAATGTATCTTTTTAAAAATATTTTCATTTAAAAAAATACCCAAAAGCGTCGGTTTCAACAGAAGAGGCGAAGATTGTGAAACAAATTTGACGGTCGTCCGTTCATGGTAAACATTTGCTCATTGTCTCTGTATCCCTTAATCCCAATCTTATTGTTTTTGCAGCGACTCTATCTCATTTTCAATTTGCGTAGCAATTATAACAATAAAATAGATGTTAAATCGAATGAAATAAAGGGACGAAATTAAAATGATCATGTTTGAACAAAAGGGTCGCTAGTTTTTGTCAACCGGATCTTAATTTTACTGTTTATGCAACGATTCAAATTCGATTTTAAATCGACATTAACATGTATTATAGTCATGGTTATTACGTATGATATACTGTAAAGGAAATAAGATAAAACTATTATCATAATTTTAGTTTACTGATTCATGTTACAATTGCATTTTTGTACAGACGGTCGAATATTTCATATCTTTTTAGGGAGCTTTGTATATTAAAAAGGCTCTTCACGCTCGGTGCATTTATTCAACACCTTGCAATTGCAACAGAAGGCATTTATGTTGTTAACTAGACAGTAAAAAAATTCCATGCTTTTGGCTACTGCCCACATGTTTCCAATTATAGTTATTTCAGATATTTTTTCTAACCATTTGTATGTGTTTTTGTATTTTCCCAGTCACGAAAAGCGTTACGGTGCTTCAAAATAGATGACATTGCTGCGAGGCCCACACCGCTTTGTAAATGCAAAGAGAGAGAGAGAGAGATTGTCTTGACCAGAAGTCAACGTTAAAAAAGGTTTAATAGTCCTATTCTCTTCGCCTTCTTATAAATGTGTGAAAATGTCAATCTTTAGTCGTTGAAATCAAACAAAGCTTAATACTCTCTTAACTATCGTCTGTATGTTTTATTTCTTCTATTTTTGTCTGTGTGTGTTGAGAAATAAACTTTTTGTTCCCAAAGAAGTTTCACCATAGTTGTACATGTTCAAGATTGTCTGTTAATCTTTCTATTTTTTTCATTTTGTCAGTGGTTTCGTGGTTTCACAACTCTAAAATTATACAGTAGTTATTTCAGATAAGATACAGTTATTATTTTTAGCCTTTTGTTCGTTCTTTTGTATTTTTCCAGACACGAAATCATGCCAATACGTCACAGCAGACACTATCGCTTCAAGGTATATATGTCTTCTTGACAAAGTAATGAGTGTTGGGATATAGGTAGAAAAAAAATTTAAAAAAGTATTGTGAAAAAATCAAAGTCAAAATATTGAGTTTAGTTTCGTTTATTTATTTATTTATTTATTTATTTATTTATTTATTTATTTATTTAATCATTGAGATTTGTACATGTCCAGGATTGCATATTTATGAGTCTTTCTCCGTGGTCAATTATAGTTAATCGCATTCCTCAGAAGATACAGTTCTTCTTTCAAAATGTTTAGATGCTTTTGTATTTTTGTCACTCATAAATTTGACATAATTGCTGAAGGGCTTAGCCCTCCTTGTCAGTGTGATGAGAAAGGGTTTCAAAAAAGAAAAAAAAGGATAGAAAGCAAAACGAGATTGTGAATAAATCAGCGTCAAGAGAATTACCAGGTCTTTCCTGCCACTGTCAAATAATAATGTTTGAATCATTAAATGCCAGTTTTTGTGGGGAAATCACAGCTAAATTGTCTCTTAAATGTTGCCTTTATGTTTTTTTTTTTGTTTGTTTATTTATATTATTTATTTTTAGAAGTACACTTTGTGTAGATTAGTCTTACCAAATATACATATTTTCAAGATTGTATGATTATATCTAGTTTTTAAATATGTCGGTTCATGCACCTTCGTGTTTTCAAGAACTTTGCAAATTCACCTATAGTACCGAAATTACATTGCTATCATGGCTCGACATAAATGTCTTTTCTTCGAACGCCTCGAATAGCGCCCTGAAATACAAATCTCCAACTTCGATTTGTGTTTGTTTACAGGATTGGCGTATGTGTTTCAAGTTAATCTGTGATGGTCATGTTGTAATCTCTTTATCCCAGAGGGGTCATCCGTGTCCGGACTGCCGCCATCTTGACCACAGATGAGGCCCCGCAAGCTCAGCAGCAAGACCAGTGACGACGTCATATTTTGCGGCTTATTTTGGCAAGCATATTACTGACGTCAAGACTATGCTGGTTTTATGATAAATGGATAAAGTTACACTGCAAGCAAGTTATGAACTCAAACTGTACAACACAGTGAGTTTTAAGTCATCCTACTGGGGATATTACCGCCAATTTTGATTTTCCTCGATACATAAGCAGTGTTCTGTTCCTGTTAATAAAATCAACTAAACAAAAGAGAAAATGATAATAAATACAAAACCGAGCTGTTGTGCATGTCCAAATGATTCCGTGCCTTGACAAACGGGGAACCAAAAATGTAATTATTGTTATTTGTAGTCAACCTGGGACGGATTCTCGCCCAAAAGTCAACGCACCAGTAGCTCTTTATTCATACATGTGACGTCAAAAACTCCGGTCAGGTCACTGACCTACGCACTCCACTTGGCTGGACCATAATGATCTAAGTCATGCAACGTATGCCAATTTATGGAAAATATGTAATGTATCTTCTTGGTTAAAGCAGCGTCTTACTAAAAGAGATTAAGGCACTGCATTTATGTTTTTCATCATTACCAGATTAGTAACCATTTCTAAAATGGGCGTAAGTTTCCGTTAAAACCAGCCATATCATGGAGGGGTGCGGGTTGATGAGTGCTGCCTGTATTCTCAGGAAGTGTTTTATCTTACATTTATCTGCCTATCCCCGTTATCATCAAAGAATATATAGATCATAGGGTAAAGCATTTATCGATTCAGTCCCAGTTTTTGGTATTTTTCCAGATTCAGTCAACACTACCAGGTGCGTGGTGAGGACATTTGAAAATTAAACGTAAAATGGGAACCAATTTAAATCTGAAGGGCAGACCAAAATCTTTAAAGGAAAACTCAATAAAAAGGAAGTATATGACAAAGGATATAAATAGTGATTTTATTATATACCAATAAAATTATACCCGTCTTCGAAGATCGATCTGCACGAGCATTAAGTTTTTGTGATGCTTGAATAAGTATGTCAAAATTTTGAACCATTTTCATAATTTGAAATTGACCAGTAATGACATAACAGCCCAGCCATGTGTATTGACTGCTGCCGACTGCAACGCCGCCCTGGTGGCAGAAATACAGTATAAATAACCAGAACCACGCCCGAGGAGTCCATTTGGGTCAGGTGCACTGAAGACCACACGGTGGGTTTTAAGATAATTTTTTTTACTCTTCCCTTTCATAGCGAGCAATGCTAATTGCTGCAAACCAACGGTACTTTTAGTGACCTTATTGCTTCTGCTTGGAAAGAAATTGAGATAACATATTTCAATGATTTTGAAAGGTAACAAATTTTAAACAAAGTAATATCTGGAAAATATCATAAAATGAAAAAAAGATGGATTAAGAAGGTGGAATTTTGAGGCAACTGCATTTACTAAATATTTATAAATTAAGATACAAAAAAGCGTTTTGTATTAAAGATTCAAGATTGAGGTTGCTTATCCCTTTTAGTAGCGGAAATGTAGGGCGTGGTCCTCGTGTGTGAACACATTTCGCGAGCTTGGAAATAAGTTCTCAGCACAACAGCAGTGTAAATTGTAACAGCACTTGTCCTCTCCTAAGCACATGGTCACATCCGAAATATTTCTTAAGACGTCTTGTTGTGGCTAGTCGCCTTGTCTAAGCTGTTTGCAAACCTACTGTCTTACAACGTTTGACAGAATTTTTAAATATATAGTGGCCGCCATCAAACGCATTAAAGCCCAACTGCTTTGCTGGGTGTCTGGAATAACTAGGTACTTTTTTGATGTTTAAAAAGTTTCATCAGTTTGGTGGATGATAGAAAAATTAGTCTTGTCACAAACTGCAAAATTACTCACATGAGAACTTTCGATACTTTTTAAATTCGACACACATTTATAAATATGTATATTAAAACACGATATTATTAACTGTGGAATGTACATTTAAAATGAAATAAATCGTAAATATTCAAGTAAATTAAATCCCTTGAACAATGTTCATTCCTTGAACAATGTCAGCCTAACAGAGGCTTTCCATTTAACGGACAAAATCTGGAATCCCGGTGGCTCCTCGCCTGGCGGATAGTTAGCGGTATTTATAGCATTCACGTCATTGAGTGTAGGTTTCGCATAAATTACAGGTTGTAAATTTGAACAACACGCAGTGCGTGTATCCGTAGTCAATTTTTCTTTTTCTTTTCTATAGCGCGGGTGAGTGACGCCAACAAAAGGTACACGAACCCTTAGAAACCGTAGTATTTATGGCTAAAGTTGTCTTAACCACATTACATAAATAGTAACAAGGCGTGTGACACATATACACCTGTATAATTAGTATACCTGTGAGGGCCATCTCCGCATTTTTCTGGATGTAAACAGGAACTTGTACATCCCAAAGCACCGTGGGTATGGCGCGATTCACTATGGCCCTTCCTGTATACGATACTGGTCATCATGATTGGTCAGTATAATCCCCCAAGAACAAGAAATACCTGTAATATTGCATTTATTTATTTATTTATTTATTTATTTGTTTGTTTGTTTGTTTGTTTGTTTATTATATACTGCATTGACACAATTGAAAACATTCCTAACACTTACCCAGTAAAACAAATACTTTCTGATATTTACATCCGGTATTATTTATGGCCAAAGCGTCTAAAACTTATTAAAAAAAAAGACTTTGCCTATACACCAGTTCTAACATTCGTGACGTCAGACTAATAGCTGTGAGACAAACAGCGTGCCGGACAAGGAGTGTTATATATACTCAGAAATAAAGGCCCTGATGTAGTGTTCAAATATGTGAGTATAATCACTAGATTTCAGTTTGTACAATGTATATCGATTATTAAGAATGAGAAAAAATACAGTTCTAATTTTTATNATGCAACACTGTAAACACAATATAAGAAAAACAGATAGGCCAATTGTCATTAAACTCACAGGAGTGGTCATTCCTGCTAAATCGCAGGTTGAGTTCAAAAATCAGCATAATCGGGCCATTATTTTAAAGAAATGCCGTTTTTATGTACAGACACAGATGTATTTTACCTGTTGAGCATAATTAAAATTTGATGTTGAATTTGCAGTTTAACATAATGTACTTTTGCATCAAAATTGACAGTAGCTTTTTTGTTATTTCCTGCTTTTTGTCTGTACATTTGACAGCTTTGCTGCCTTGTTTATACTGTTTTCTGTTTAATCAAATGTCTTTTAAGTAACAATGAGCCAATGATTTTTAAAAACTGTTTGCAAGAAGTTGAAAGTCTGAAAGTATGTCCATAATTTACATTACATAACACATAGAGGCACCCAGGTTTACTTTTAAGGATAATAGATCAGTTGGTTAAAAGAAAGTCCACCTTTTCGTAATAAAGGTATTGTCACCCCCTATAATACCAGGCACTGTGTAATACGTCGGAGTGGTCTTTATCTTCCACCAAAGACCATTCACTTGTATCGGTCCTGCTCCGTAGCAGTTACGACCATGTGTGTTGAAAAATACATGCGCCATGACGTGTCCACAGCAGGTGGTCATGTTTAAATCAATCTTTGACCTAACCGAAATGGCTGTTATTTGACCAATTTTTATTTATCTTATTTACAACGATAGTAAGACTGTTTCAGGAGCCACACGTACATTGTACTAAATGCGGTGCAGGGGCTGACCGTTTAGAGCATCGTGTGAGCGGGACCTCCCTCGCCCACATACCCGTCAGCGTGACTTCCGTTTCTTAAAATAAGACATTATTTCTTCTCTAAATGTCTCTCTTTAAATACAGCGCAGGGAGGCAACTAGCCGGACCTACGACCAGGAAAAACAACAGACAGCAAAGTGTAACGGGAGGGCGAGGACGAAGAAACGAGTGGGTATCTAGAAAACGTGGGGTGTGCCAACCACTATTTCTATTTAACAGATGGATTGTATATGGATGGATTAAAATTTTGCTGCGATTTGGTTAAAATAACGTACATGTTATATCGCTTATATCCATCTTACAGAAAGGATTACAAGTTTATAATCGGAAGATAATCTTTTCATATCTTTTGTACGATATTCAGTAATTTCATGGAGTGAGTTCGAAAAGAAATGTTTAAATTTTCAAGTAATTCTAAGTAAGTTATGCTGCATTTTTTTACTATTTTGCTTAACAATTTCGATTTGTCTATTAATTAATTAATTAATTAATTAACTTTTTTATTTACATCATTTCAGATTCGCAGGACTCCACGAAAATGGCGCTCTTCGGCGATAAGGCCAAGAAAAGATGGTGGCTGTTGATGATCGTCTGCTTGACATCGCAGCATTTCTACCCAGGTAATAAAAAACGAGTTTAAGCATTACACACGTGACTATTGATACAAATTTACAAATTTTCAACATAACATTTATGTCGTAAATCTTGATGTTTGGACCTGGATGTGGACATAAAGAGGTCAGCGATGATAAACCGAAACATGGCGTTCATGCGCTCTCTTAAATCAAAACCCCTGCCTTTTAGAGAAAGGATCACATTATTTTTCTTTCAACTGAGCTTACACTTCTACACGTCCGTTGAAGTATTTTCATTTTTGTTTTCATGTCCTCTAGGCATTTTATGCAGTAACTGATGTTTAAGTTGTCTTTTTATGAAGTAGTTTTCCTGTACGTACACGCAAACTACCTACCATGTCAACGAGCACAGAAAATAACAGGTCGCGAGTCAGTAATTTTCCGTAGGGACTGACAAAATGATTCTACCTTCCAGACTCTTAAATATATTGACCAAAGAATTTTCGCAAGCCTACATTTGCAGAAACGCCCCCTTTTTTCGTAACTGTAAGTGTACATGTCCAGGCAATTACGGTTTAGCGATTTTGCAGAAAGTTACCTTTTTATTGTTTGGGCTCATTCCCACTGAAACTATCATTCTACGTAGATCGATCCAACTCCGCTAAATCTCTCACTGAATGTAATTAGTTTGACAGGGCTCCGTAACTCGAAAGCATCGCGTATCGCGAATAGCGATATCACATAGAGGCTACAGTGTATTGCATGGGGCGAGTATGGGCGAGTTATGGAATCGAGACGCTTGCGCTCGGTCGCAATGCGCGATGCTTTCGAGTTACGGGGGCTAGATTAACTCGCTTGTTTTGCTTATCTTGCATTTTTTGCAGTTCTTATAAAGTGTGCTCTTACCAAACAAATTATGGTCATGTGTTTCTTTTGTATACAGAATGTGAACTACGGGTTTTTCCTACAAATAGATGTCCGAGGTAGAGAGAATGTTCGCTGTTCCCTTTTAATTAAAATTGTACAATATATTATTGAATTAAATATTGCGTTGTTCTTTACAGTTATTTCCCATGCTAATCAGCTGGAGAGAAAAACTATAGAGAAAAAGGCTGTGCATTCTGAGGACAAAAGGGGTAAGGTCATTGCCGCTTAACATTAAATCAGTTATTTCATTCCCCGACCAAAAAGGATGGGTTCGTTGGTTTGTCTGTTTGCCAGTGGACACGATATCCCAAAATGCTCTTCGATATGATGAAATTTTCGAGTTAACCCATTATTCCGATAATAATTTCAACTGCATCCGGCTCTCTTTATATGTTAAACAGTTTTTGCCTAATTCCTTGGCGGAGGTCTGCGCTCTCCGAGTGCTCAATAGATTTAACACATTGAAATCTGTCTCATCTTGTTTCGTACCTTTGTGATTTTCTTTGTAATGTCTGATAATTCGTTGTTATTGCTATTTTCTGATTGCATAAAATGGAATATTAAATAATTATTGGTAACAATAAAAATGGTTAATTATTTGCAGAGGCAGAACCTGCCGACGAACGCTTGGAAAAATCGGACACAGCAGTTGTCCTTCGTTCTGATACGAAAATTCTTCACAGGCAAAAAAGAGGTAAATCCTTTTTTAACAAAATTTTTTAATTATTACTTTCTTTAGTTCAGGAGCTTTTGGAAAGTTAAATACCTTCAATTAACACTGGGATCCATCATTGGACCTAGATTTGATTCATAAAAAAAACTTCATTAATCTTCACATTTACATAATTACATGTAAAATGATTTCATTGAACATATAATGTAAAATTTGCGATAAAATGCTCAACTGTGACGGATGGAACACATTTTTCCAAAAAGTCCAATCATGACAAATGAGTATAATATTTCAGTATATATTGTGTGCTTTCCAATATTTCAGTTCTCCCAGTGTTGGTTTTCATTCTTGTCAACTTCTGGGATGATTTGGTCTGTTTGGGCCTGAATTTGGCAACCATGTTCAACTGTGGAAGCTTGACGCCAGGAACATGCCAAAAGTGAGTAAAAATTTTAGCCGAGCATTGTAAGATCAGTAAATAGCTGTAATAGTAAATATTATGAAAGTAGGGCCATGAAAATTAAAGAGGTCTATGTAAATTACGACGTAGTCAGCCTTGTTCGTGTGGTTTCATTTGAATTTTAAAATCCATGGGCAAGTCTCTCTCTCTCTCTCTCTCACACACACACACACACACACACGCGCGCGCGCGCGCGCGCGATTATTTTAATACTCTTAAAATAACCTCTTTGCTATGCAGGATTAAAGACCTCGACAAAAAGAGAGACCGGATTAAGAGAAAAGTCAACCAAACCCTCGACGAAGAGGCCCACTGGAGCGTCCTCAACCGGACCAATGACAAAGCTATCACAAGCCTGTATATGATAGGGAAAGAACTTGAACTCGTAGCCAGCTCAAATATTCGTTTGATGGAGAATCTTAAAGCACTAGAGGTCGTACAGGAACAGTCTGAAGCCTATGTGCCCGATGACAACAACAATCTAATCGAGCAACAAGTCCGATTCCGCATGAATGTGACGCAGTACCTGAACGGAATGAAAGGGGTGTTGGAGGGCGTGAGGGGACAGCTTGATATGATGCAGAAGAAAGATTATATGTATTTTGCCATGGCAACTGCAATTCCATTGTTGGCCATGCACACCGGATTGATCACGACCTCGGCAAGAACGGCGCTGTTGACCCGATCGCAGAACTACCAGGTTGTTGAATTCTTCGGGAAAAAAGGCTCATACCAGCTTGCGACTAATCCGCAGGGGAAGATGTTCATTGTTCAGGAAAACCCCCAAAAACTTGGGAAGCTGAAAGTCTATGCGAAACTGGACAGTAACGGAAAGGTGGGAAAATTCTGGAAGTTCATGATGCCATCGGGCCAAAGAGCAGCAACCAACAGTTTCTTAAATTCTATAGACTTCAAACAAGCCCAGCGAGTCGTCAAGCTGCAGGCTCTTGATCCGGACTATCTTAAGACTTTGAAGAAAACTGGTTATACTTCGGCATTTCTCAGATCTACAGATGGACTGGATTCTGCAAAATTCACCGAATTCGTCAACAACGCAAAAACCAAGCAGCCAAAAGCTTTGTACGGAGCAAGCGCCGCCACCGACGCAAGCCTTCCGAAGTGGATGCGACAGGTTGTTTCTCCATTCGATCCAAGTGACGTAAAAGCAGTGAGCGCGTACAACAAACTTAAAGCCGCCAACCCAGCGCTCCTTGCAGATCTTGAAAAAACGGGGAAAATAGGTGAGTATAACCTTTTACCTTGCAGCATGGTCTGATCTATACATATTATTCTTAAATCATCCCGACTTGTTATTTAACTTTTTGTGCCCATAGGAAAATAAATAACGCATATAAACAGGTGCACCATCTGCACTTAATTTGTCTTTTTTAATTCAGGATGTGAACAAAATGTACATATGCAATTAGCTATCGAATTTGCATATTGTTAGTTAGTACAATGAAGCAGATGGAATAGTACTGTATCGAACCGGGGTTCATTTGAATTCTCCACTTCAGGCAACTTCCTCGACAAATCCAAGGGCTTGCCTGACGCTGACTTTGACGATTATGTCAAAAAAGTTAAATCCGCAAACACTAACGTTGACGGCCTCAAGAACTTTGACTTCGACGCACCGGCCAAGAAGGTGAAATGGGGAAGCTGGCAGAAAATGAAGAGCGGATGGAGATCGTTTTCCAACAAGAACTTGTTCAATTTCAGGGGAAGAAAGGTATGTCTGCAGTTAGGGCGAATGCACGGATTAATGTATTTTGCGTTCATTCTTTTGTATGACCTCTTTCGTCTAATATATGAATCTACCTTTTTTGCCCACTATACTTCATACAAATTGCCTGTCTAATCGCGTTTGCTTAAACTTGGCGAATTT